CCCCCCCCCCCCCCCGGGGGCACCCCCTCGCCTCGCCGCCGGAACGCGGTCCCGGTCCCCGCCGCGGCGCGTTGCTGCCCCCTCCCGGGGACCGGGACCGCCGCTTCTGCCCCCGCCGGGAGGGGAGTGACGGGAGGAGCATCCCCCGGTGGTGGCAGGGGCTTTCCCGGGGGGAGCGGGACGAAATCTCCCCGCGGAGGGGGGTGGGATGCTCCCTCCCGGTCTGGGGATGGCTCATCGCCTCCCGGTAACGGTGACACCGCGAACTGGTGACATCCCGCGCCAGAATCCTCGGAGGCCTCCTTTGAGCCCCTTGGAGGCCTCCTTTGAGCCCCTCGGAGGCCTCCTTGAGTTCCACCTTGAGGAGCAAAACACGGGACCTCCCTTCGTGCTCCCCAGAGAAAAACCCACCCCAACCCTCTTGCTAACTCTGCAGTGGCGGAAACAACGAGAGAAGCTGCATTTTAGGATGTAAAAAAAAGTCACTTTTCATCCAAGAGAAGGGAGGAAACCTCCCAAAGTGGGAAGAGCTTGAGAAGAGCATCTATTTTTCCCCACCGTCTTGCATGGGCATGTGCTGCTCCTTGGCAGACACGGCGCCAGCGAGATAAGAGGAGGAATGTTTCCACCCAAACGCTCTCAACTTGCCCGAACTCCTCCAGGACCCTCAAGGATCTTCATTGCTTTTGGCTGAAACTCCCCTCCTGGTGCTACCCCCCTGCACCCAACCTGCTGTCACCATGGAGGACACGCTTCTGTCCCCCAGTTGCCCTTCATTGTCACCTCTCTTCAAACCTGGTGGGCAACACTGGCACTGCCCCGTTGTAGGGGAGAAGAAATAAGCACAAACAGCTTCTTAGCTATGGAAATTACTCAAAAAGGTAGTTTTTCTTCCCTGCTGTACAGTGGAAGAACCAATTCCCCACTGCGAGCACAGGAGAGTGCCCAAATTCAGCGATGTGCCCTTAGCAACACCTTTCCACTCTTGAGAGTGAGAATTAAAGAGGGATTTGGGGGCGGGGGAGTGATCAGAAAGATAATAATTGAATTTTAACCTGCTTGAAAAGACAGCCAGAAAAGCTGACCCAACATCTCTCCTGGTTTTGGACACGTGGTGGTGGCAGCCCCAGAGCTGAACCCCACAGCCCTGAAGCACCTCTTCTGCTCATGGGCAACGAGTCTCCCCATCTCCCAATTTTGACCTTGACTTTTCAAGGATTGTTTATGTTGTGTATTCCTAGGACATTCAGGCACCTCTTGTGGCTTCCCACTGTAAATACCAAGACAACAAACTCTGATTTATTAATCAATTAATTAGATACAATATATTTATGGCTACCGCAGGCTCACAGCAATTTGTTTTAACAAATTCACCACTGGGCTGCAGTGAGAAACAAACCGAGAGGGTCTGTGGGTCCTTCTTCATAAGCAGAATCCTCTTTTCTAAGCAAAGATGGTAGCAATTACTTAATAGAAAGGCTACCGTTTCCGCTGGAATTTGAATTTGTAAATAGCTGGACTATTTTTAGTCTCTTTCTTCACCTTTACTTTATGGGTTTTGTCCTGGAAGAAAAGAAAAAGAAAATTGCTGGTATGAAAGAAGAAGAAAAAAAAAAAAAAACAACACACTACCCTCAAATAAATCAGAAGGTCCCTGTCTGGGGCTGACAAGGTATTAGGGAAAAATGGTCACTTTCTGCTCTTTAGGTGGGAATTATATTTGTCTGCTCTTTCCACTGTCAGACACAATCTGTTTTACTCACAAGCACCAGTGAATGGTGAGTCCCCATTGAGACAAATAATTTTTTGATTGTTGGGATTTTTTTAAGCTCCTCTGGTAACGTACAGAAATGGTTCCTTCCCTCTGCTACTCGGAAGCATTTTGTACTTGGGAGGAGTAAAACAGTATTTTACAACAGCCTTGTGAGCACCATTTCAAAGTGGAGTCTCTGTCCTTGCTGCCACGGTAAGAGTTGGACTAGCAGATAGGATTTACTAGCCATGGCACAACTGGAATGCTTCAGCTCCTCACTTTTGCCATGCTAAAAGAGGATTACTTATTTTCAGGGGTTATCTGGAAGCATCGGTATAAAAATCCGAGTGAAGACTCGTGTACGTCCAAAGCTGGACCTTAAGGAAAGATTCAAAGAACCAGAACTAAATCTCTCACCACAAGATCTTTACGTGTCTGGATTTTCTGGGCCACAACAAACATGGCCTTTTCTCTTTCAATGCGCTGCTTCAGGAGGTCGTACTGATTCTTCCTCTGCTGGGCTAATTTCTGGAGAGGAAAAAAGAAAAGAAGCCTTTTCAAGACAGAGAGGAACAAGGTATTATGGTCTATAACTGTCCTGTTCTGAGGTACGTGGGCCACACAAACATTTTTTTTATGGTTTTAAATCGCAATCATTTTAAAGAATGCTGCTTCAAGTCTGTGCCTGGATCCCACAGAACTGTTTTAACACCTTGATTTTCACAGTAGAAGTTTTCTAGTTAAAACTTAACTCTTTATGCTTGTTTTAATCTCCTAAATCCAATGTCATTTTTCTAAGTCCTCTGAATTTCAGTCTTGAGTGCAAGATAACATTTAACTGTCTAATGAAAATCCCATATTTTGGGGGGGTGGGAGGGAGAAGAGAGACCAATTCCTGAAGTGCTTAGAAATTGCAGAGAGGCCTCCCAAAATGCAACTTGTTTGGTCACGTTTCCCTAATAAGAGCGGATGGCTTTCCCAGCACAAAAATGGTATTACTGCAGGTGTGATTTAAGTAATTAAATTAAGGGGAACAGATCCTGACATGCTTAAAATATGACTCAGACATTTAGAGGAGAAAACTTGTCAGTCTACAACTTGTCCAACTGCTTTACTGACGAGCCAGACTGAGAGAGCTGGCAAGAAGGAAAGGACCACAGGGCGTTTGTTATCTGACATCTGATTCAGAAAACAACAGGTTGCAAATCTACCAATTGGCAATTTTAGACAACTTTATTTTTACTTTACAGAGACCAACTTAAGCTTATGGGTCTGCACAATACATCTAAGCTAATTGAGCGGTATTTAGTGTTAAAGCTGAGTGTGGCTACTTCTAGGACAGAAGTGCTGTGATATTAAAACATCAGAATCAGAGGTGGTTGTTTACACGATTCACCCTGAAGGATCTTGAAATATTTTAAATTAGGAAAGCCAGGAAGTGAGACTATAGCTTAAATAGCTTTAAGAAGAAAAGGGAGGAGACAAGTCCTGAATCTCAAGCACCTTCAGGCTCAGAACCTGCCTGAAAAATACCATGAGATCAGAAACCCAATGATAGATTCATCTGTGTTGGAATGAGCTTCTTCACACCCCTGTTGAGGGGTGCAGCGGGTTTTGGTGAGGTGTGAGGGGACATTTAATAGTGGATGCTGTGAAAAATGACACATAGAACTGCAGTAATCTAAGGAAGAGACAGTCCCATAGCTGTATGTCGTGTAATGGAGCAGAAATAGATCAACTCTGCCAAAGAAACTGCCTAATCAGATCTGGCCCATGCATGACAGCTCTTGACTTATAATCCACAGGGGACTGGGACACAAGTTCTCCACGTTGGTCCAGGAGAAGACTTGACTGTAGGCTCCAGGCACTTAATTAGTAACATCCACTACAGCCTTGTGTCACCAGTAAAAATTCAAAGACAAGGGAACAACTTTGTTCTCCACAACGGTACAACGAGCTCTTTAGTGCTTATTATCTAAAAGATGTAAAGCATGGAGAAAACTGGAGCAGGAAGAGTGGCAGTACCTTCAAGTGGGCAGGTTCAGTGGCTCCTTTTAGGGACTCCTTCTGCAGCGTTGCGATGGTGGGTCTGTTGTACACTCTGCCCACGAGCTCCGGGACAGTATCCAGATGAGTTGCAATGTCAAACTCCTTAACTACAAATAAAAACAAATTTAGGAATAACTCACATGGAATTTTTGGAATAATGCTCAGCAAACCTTCCAAACATGCAGCGTAAGTACAGTCAGCGATGGAAGCCTAAGAAAATGCAGAACTTAAGTCTTAGCTTAGTTAGCAATTAAAAGAGATTTCTACAGCACCTGAATTATTATTCCTGAAAAAAATATATATATACTTTTTTTTTATAACAGCATAAAGAAAGCACCATACTATTTTAAACACCCTACAATAAAACACCACTGCGCAAGTTTTCTGCTTAAACCTGTTTAAGTCTTACCTTCTTTTTTGGTATTACCTTCTATGTTTAAGTCTTACCTTCTTTTTTGGTATCAAAAAAGAACGTGTGTTTGTTGGGACTCTTCCCCTCGGCGTCCAGCAGATGGAGCTCCGACTTCAGCCGCTCGATTTTCTGCAGGAAAAACCATCCTTTTGGCCAAACATCGGTAACAAAAGTAAGTAACATCTCCCTGAAGTAAATCCCTGTTTGGTTCTCAAGCATCTGAACTCTTCCTTTTTTTAATCCTTGAAAACACACCTAGTCTGTATTTGTCACGTCTTCATAACCTTTTTGAGTAGAGGTTAACAATAATTTCTAATTAACCTTTTTGAGTAGAGGTTAACAATAATTTCTGGTATATTTAGGAATAACTCACATGGAATTTTTGGAATAATGCTCAGCAAACCTTCCAAACATGCAGCGTAAGTACAGTCAGCGATGGAAGCCTAAGAAAATGCAGAACTTAAGTCTTAGCTTAGTTAGCAATTAAAAGAGATTTCTACAGCACCTGAATTATTATTCCTGAAAAAAATATATATATACTTTTTTTTTATAACAGCATAAAGAAAGCACCATACTATTTTAAACACCCTACAATAAAACACCACTGCGCAAGTTTTCTGCTTAAACCTGTTTAAGTCTTACCTTCTTTTTTGGTATTACCTTCTATGTTTAAGTCTTACCTTCTTTTTTGGTATCAAAAAAGAACGTGTGTTTGTTGGGACTCTTCCCCTCGGCGTCCAGCAGATGGAGCTCCGACTTCAGCCGCTCGATTTTCTGCAGGAAAAACCATCCTTTTGGCCAAACATCGGTAACAAAAGTAAGTAACATCTCCCTGAAGTAAATCCCTGTTTGGTTCTCAAGCATCTGAACTCTTCCTTTTTTTAATCCTTGAAAACACACCTAGTCTGTATTTGTCACGTCTTCATAACCTTTTTGAGTAGAGGTTAACAATAATTTCTAATTAATAACTAGCCAAACGCATACAAATTAATTTTCAAAGCAGTAAGTTGTCTGAATGGCAGACAAAGTAAGAATGATTGCCATGAAATTACCAGCAAAAGCATGAAGGAAAATTCAAAGCTGACTTTCTTTAATTTCTTTATCGCAGCAATGGCGTGGGGATCAACATCAGAGCAGAAAACATTGTCAGAAGTGGGTCATGTTTGTGTTGATTGCCTGCCTACCATATATTTAAAACAACCCCCTTCAGTAATAATCCTCAATTCTTAATGAGAAGCAAGAGCCCTTGTTTAACGTCTGAAATTTACATAAGAAATTGCTGTATTTTATAAAAATGCGTAGCATACATTTTATTATTCAGCATACCTTAAGGCTCTATGTACAGAGCTCCACTGATGTTTCCATCTATCATTTCCAGTATTACACAAATCAGATTTCACCAAATATAAACACAATAGCTAACAACAATAACAACAAAAAAACAATAAAAAGAACAATTCTGAGAGAACTGGAAAAAAAAGAAAAAGTATTACCTTGGCTTCTGCCACTCTTTTCATTTCCACGTATTTAATATCCTGTGTCCTCATCAGTTTCACCTGTTCGGGGGTCACTTCATCCTTTGGCTGCTTTATTGTGTGGACTCCATCCTAAAATGAGACAGAACACAGCGCCTGCAGCCAGATCCCTCCAGCTACAGCGCGCTCCGGCTCCTTTTAATAAACACACAAGAGCCTTTTTTGTCCTCTGCCCCTTGTTTTCTTCCAAGCCTTCCACCAGCATCAAACCGAGTCTGCGAATTTATTTACTAATTCATAAATTATAAAGAAAACAAGGGAGAAAAGAAATTACTTAAGAGCAACAGTGCAACCCTGCTGGAAGGCAATTCAGATCCTCACCTGGAGCTCCGACCGGATCATTTTAAAGTAGAATTCATCGGGATTCTTGTCCAGAGCTTTCTTCTGAAGGGCTCTGAGGGCATTTTGTTTCTTGTGATAATCACTGGGGGGGGGGAAAAACCAACAAAGAGCAGTTGTTCAGCATTTTCTCTGTGCCCACACCCCCCGAAGTGATGCTCGGGGGCTGCAGCCCGGGCTCCCCACCGGAGCTGGGCACCGGGGGACGGCTTGATCTCCACGGTGGGTGCCGTGACACGGCTGGAAACCCACGGTGTCCACCCACGTTACACGGGAAACGTGTTCCCCCGTCCCGCACAGCCCCCCCCCGTTAACCGTGAGCGGTAACAGGCTTTGCCTTAAGCACAATAACGGCGACACGGTTATTAAAAAGGTGTCAGGCCTTGACCCTGTGCCACCCCGGGGCTGTCACCGTCTGTACCGGACGGGACCGGGCACGGGGCGAGCGATCGCGG